TTTTTGTTTTTATTATTTATTTATAGTATCTGTGTTGTGTATAGTGTAGAGTGTGTGATATTTAGTATTTCTCTTCATAATAAAAAAGATAGCTCTTCTCCTCACTATAGCTATGTACACTATTGTTCTTTCATTTCATTATCTTACAACAAAAACTCTAAGCGTGATAACATCTCAATGCCTCTAAAGAACGGAGGCAGATTCCCGCATTTCCACTACCTCAAACACGAAAGTCTCATACGGTAAAACACGAAAAAATTACAAAAACAATTCAGCTAGATTTACAGTCAATTAATAAATGATTTCTCAAACGAAGTATACAGATGTCGTTTCTGTTTGATGTCCCGATGCCGCTAGTGTACTGCGGATAAACGGTCGGGCATTTCGATAATATAAATCTTTTTTTCTATACATAAATAAATAATAAAAACAAAAACAAACTTTTTTTGTTCAGTTTTGGATAAAAAATAAAAGTGACGACTATTTTAACCTACTAAAAGGAAGAGAAAGCAGCAAGTGCCTTTTGAGAGCTAATTTGCACAATACTTTGATTTGCATTGAATCTTGTACAGAAGAAAGAATGAAAACCAAATGGATCCATTTGCTATTCTACAAATGGCGTTTAAACAACATAATCGTACTCTGAGTAATTCGAGTAACGATGATGCTGATAGTATAGATCGAAGAAAAGCTGCTCGTTATCGCGAAAAACTTAATGCAGATTATGATAATCCTCGTTTAAGGAGGATTGACGATCCAACCCTGCTAATGATCGAAGCAAACTCAGCTTCTGAAAGTGAACATGAAGATGAGAACGAAGAAGATAGTTTCTCAATATGTTTCAAATTTCAAAAAGTGATCAGAGGTCCAATATATACAGGAAAAGTCCTAGAAAATTGAACATTTTGACTATGATCAAATTTAATGAAGTTTTTCAATTGTGCAGATTCAACAGCACGTTCGTGAAATAGAAAGGCTTGCCAGTACTCTCCCATGGAACAATATACTGTACCAATACAATTGTACGATTGGGCCAAATCATATTGATTTGGCGGACAACTTGATTGTCGAATTACAAGCGCTTTTTCATAAAAGGCAAGTGCTTTTCTATATATAAATCAATTTGCTAATCTCAACTCTTGCTTTTCAGCAATCGATATAAGCCAACAAAAAGAACTAATTAAATAAATGAATGTGTTGCTTAAATAATTAAATAAATGCAGAGTTTAGCTTTGCCGACGCGTTTCGTACCTTTTAAAAGGTAATACTCTTGAGGGCTTGTCAATAATATATCTGAAATAGAAGAAAGAGAAGATGATTTACTTGGAGGTTGATGAAAAAAAAGAGATAACAAAAGGGAAACAGAGGAAAGGATAAAACAGTTAGTTAACCAAATCTTATCATATTCAAAAGTGAGCAGCTTGAACTTTAGCTAATCGTATTTTGGTATCAATTGATTTTCAAAGATGTCGAGTACAATGTATAACATATCCGTGAGCATATGTTTCTAATTGAATAATTGAATCATGAACGTTGTTCTCTGGGAATGCTGCTCCTGTTGTACTTATTATTCCAGATAATTCAAATAAATGTTTGGCTATTTGTTCACTAGAATTATTTTTTCTATAATGTTCGAATATTCTACCACATTCCCTGTAATCATCGATTATAAAACTAATATTATCATTTAATTCACGTATTTTCTCATGTATAAATTCAATATTTGTATCATTATCAAGTTCTTGGGTAGATTGAAGAACTTCTGCTGCCCAATAATCATATTCTTCATCTAATTTTAAATATGCTTTCCAAAGTTTTAATTTACAGTCATCTCGAATCCATTTATCATAAATTGAAGTTAATACTGTAACATAAGCATATGTTACATAATCTTGTATCATAAACTTTGCACTGATTGATTTACCAGTAAACCATTTTAATACTTGATTTCTATTAAGATAATCATAATTATCATAACTAGTACAATCCATTGACTGTTGTAATGACGGTTGTTTATTATGATTATAAGAGCCATTTGTTTGCCGATTATGATACTGATATTGACGACGATTATTGAAGTTATTATTCCGTTGATGAAAATTTTGATTTGATCGGTTTCGATAATGAGATTGATGGATGTTTCCACGACCATGATTTGCATCAGAATAGGATTGTGTCGTTGATCGATCAATGAAGACTGAACTGTGCTGTTTCGATGACATGATTTGCAAAGGTAATACTCTTCAACGCCTGAGATATGTTTATCTGGAACAGATGAAAAATAACGGTTAGGTACTGTAGTAGGTTTAATGGAAGAAGAATATGGGTAGAAAAAGAACAACACATGTGCTGCAGATAAATATGAATAATGCAACAAATTTACTAAGTTTATCAGTTCATGTATTGTATGGCAATCAAATAATATCATATATTCTGAAAAAACATAAATCGTAAATCATGAATCGTAAATCATTACGAAGTAAATCATCTTCTCTTTCTTCTATTTCAGATATATTATTGACAAGCCCTCAAGAGTATTACCTTTTAAAAGGTACGAAACGCGTCGGCAAAGCTAAACTCTGCATTTATTTAATTATT